TTCCTCCCACTGGGTAACCATTGCTTTTGGCTGGTCAAGAAGATGCCATCTTTTAAAAAACCATTTTTACAGATTTGAAAAGAGAACATTTTTTTGTTTTTTTTTTTTTCTTTCCCCAGAGATTTTCTTTTTTCTTATCCTTCTTGAACTACGGTCTTAGAACAGTTTCACAGCCTCCCTGCAGCTATGATGGGGTTCCTTAGTAAAGTCACAGAAGAATGAAAGGCTGATTGCTGGGTCTATTTACAAAGGAGAAAATTTTTTTTAAAAATCTGGCATCTTTGCATTTGTTATAATATATACATCGTATAAGCCTAGAAATATCAAACATTTGTGTATAATTTGATCAGGTCATTTTCCATGGGCTTTTCTTTGACCTTTTTAATTGGTTGATAAGCACTTGGTCTAACCACAGGCCGTTGATAATAAACTAGAAATAGAAGAATGTCCAAGATTCAGACACTGGAAAGGAACCAATTACCTTTCCTGAAAGGTAGATTTTCAACTTTGAGGACCAGAATAATTCTTTGATTTTTCTGTCATCCGGCTCATCTTTAGAGCAATCGAGTCTCAGCTACCTGCTTGTGTGTGCGCTGGCCTGCCTCCCTCGGGTGCTTCCTTTCTTCCTACTCACCCAGCTCTCCCTCCCACTTGGGAAAGTCCTTCTGTTGTGTACAGAGGATATTTTTAAAGTCATGTACCGGAACTTCAATGCTGCTGGGAAATTCCTCCAAACGGCTTTATTTGTAAAAGAAGTATGCTGCACACTGGCTTTTTCGGTATTTCATTACAGACCACAGATGGAGGAGTGCCTCCTAGGGTAGGTCACACAAAGCCCCTGGATTCTGCAACTGTGATCTTTCTCTGTGAGCCCGGAATAACTTATTTCCCTCCTCTCTTCCATCTCTTCCAGCCTGCAGCTTCTGCTGCTTTCAGGCACATTGGCTCAAAGGTCCCACTGTCTTTGGAGAAAAATGAAACTGAATCCCTTCCTAACACCATACATAGAGCTGAAGTCCAGATGCATTGAAAAGATAAATTGAGAAATATAATAGGACAAAATGTAGGAGAGCATCTTTGTTAAGTAGGGTGGGAAAATTTATTAAACAGAACATCAAAAGCACAACCATACATCTTAAAAAGATTAATATGATTAAAAGTAGAAAGTCGGTTCAATAAGAGCAAAGTTAACAGGCAGTTGATAAAATTGAAAAAGAATTTATCATATCTAAATTTGACAAGAAACTCATACATTATTGAGGAAAATACATTTTATCAAAAATTCTTAATCATCAACAAGGAAAAGACAGAAACCCCAGAAGAAGTATGGACAAGGGGTACAAACAGGCAATCTATAGAACAGCACACTGAAAAGACCCACAAGCATTGAAGAGATGCTCAGAATAATCTGTAAATAGACAAATTCAAATGCAAATGATTATGATAGATCACTTGACTGAAAAAAAAAATAGAAAGCAAGATAATTTCCAGAGCTAGCAAACATATGGGGATGGAAAACTCTCAGGTATCCTGCTATTGCTGGCTGAGGTGACATCTGGGGGAGTAAGCTGGCAGTAATTAGTTAAACTAAGTATATATAACTGTATAACCCAGCAATTCTATCCCAGGTGTGTACACCAGATAAATTCTCACACAGATCCAGAGAGGGCCACGTGCAAGGTTGTGAACTGCAATTTAATTTGTGGTGGCAAGGAGAAGGAGGCACCCTAACTGTCGCCCACTGAGAAAGCAGGTGGATACAAAGAGATGGATGTGACCACACTGCAATTAGCCACCATGAATTAGATGTTTGCGTGGCAACATGGAGGGACAATACAACATAGTGGAGGTGAAAGAAGAAATAGAATTAGTTATAATCCAGTATCATTGCTGTAAATCTGAAATACACACAAAATTATCATATCCATTTTGCACATGAAAATATACAAATTAAACACATTTATTTAGAATGATGGGGGAAATGGGTAATGAAAGACATAAATGAGGATTAAGTGGAATAAATAAGCACCGGAAAGGAACCTCCATTAACCATGGATGACATTGTGCCATGAACCAAAGAGTGTTATTAACTGAAGCCTCTGTTCCCGAGAGGCAGGGTAAACAAAACGAAACAAATGTGCTCTGCTGAAACTTTCCAGCTTCCTCCAAAAGGGTCTGTCAAACTGGGGACATCCTACCTGTCCTCAGCTATTTCCTCTTAGGTCCTGAAAAATACTAAACCTGGCCTAGACCGCTGAAAGAGCTGATGACATTTCTGCATTTCCTCTCTGTTCTGTTGGGGTGTTATCCATGGTGTTGTGATTCTCAATATGTTATATTAATCTATATATGGTATACATTTCTTGCCGCCTACTTATATTTAGGGTTCATGATTCTAAGTCCCATACATGTGGGTGCCCATGACAAAATTCCGATCTTGGATAATTTTTGCTGCTCTCCCTTTTGCTAATAGCAAATAATTTTCTTGATAGTAAACAGCAAATCAAATAGCAAAAGTTAAATGTTAAAAAAAAGGAAAGATAAAAGAGGAGGATGAAATTAAAAATATAAAATAAAATCAATCAGTAAAAATTATGAATGTATAATAGTCAAGGATTAAAAGTTTTCAGAATATTATATCATATATGTCATATCATATCATATCATATCATATTATATCATATATATGTGTAGATAGAGAATGTGCAAACAGATTAAAATGATGTTAACTATGTCCACTATTGGTAGGTGTAAAGTGATGCTGAATTTTTAAAACTTTATTTAAAAATTTTAATTTTTGGCCAGGCACGGTGGTTCACATCTGTAATCCCAGCACTTTGGGAGGCTGAGGCAGGCGGATCATGAGGTCAGGAGTATGAGACCAGCCTGACCAACATGGTGAAAACCCGTCTCTACTATAAATACAAAAATTAGTCAGGTGTGGTGGTGTGTGCCTGTAATCCCAGCTACTCAGGAGACTGAGGCAGGAGAATTGCTTGAACCTCGGAGGCGGAGGTTGCAGTGAGCTGAGATTGCACCACTGCACTCCAGGCTGGACGACAAGACCAAGACTTCGTCTCAAAAAAAAATTAATTTTTAAAATTAAAATTAAGTAATTTAAAATTTATAAAGGTTTAACGTAGGTTTAAAAATGGTGCTGAATTTTAAAAAATAACCGTGTATGTCAGAACTTATACACCAAGTAAAGAATAATGCCTTTATGGTCACCTTAAGAGGTAATACACTTTCTTAAAGGTAGCTGCTATTGCTGAAACTATCCTGGGTTTTTCTAACATAGGGTTTTAAAATTTGGGGTCCATGGAGTCTGTGGATAAAATTCAGGAGCCTGTAAATCTGGGCAGGAAAAATTATATCTTCATTTGTACTAACCTCTTCATGAAAGTTAATGTTTACTTCAATTATAAAAGCAATAGCAATACCTAAGTTTTTGTCACCAGTGAAAATACTGAGTCTAATTTTCTTCTGTTATTTTCATATCACATTTCAGTTTTTGCAGATGTCTGTAAATATAATTCCCAGGTTGATATTAGACATTTTTAGATCTTCTTATTTAATACATTATTAAAGAAGCAAACATGTTTTACTATGTCACAATTTTTATTTTGACAACTATATTCAATATAATTGGCTTTTTATAATTCTATATATTTTCTTTTATATTTATAAAAATGGTTTTAAGACAGAGTCCAGGAGGCTTACCAGAGTGTATAAGCTTCCCCAAACACAGAAAGTCAGGCACCCCCACAAACATCTAATTTCAGGGCAGTCATAATGCCTTATGACTATATGTTCTTCCTGACAAAAAAGCAGTCTTTAACAGTTTTGGCTAATTGCAAAAGTCAAATGCATTCTCAAAGAAAAAGTATCAGCCAACAGTGAAGATACTTTTGTGAAAGTTCTATTGACAAAGAAGATGGTTTTTTGTTTTTTAGAGACACAATATTCCTCTGTCAACCAGGTTGGATTGCCCTGGAGTGATCATGGCTTACTACAGCTTCAAACTCCTGGGCTTAAGTGATCCTCTGGCCTCAGCCTCCTGAGTAACTGAGGCTACAGGTATGCACCACTATGCCTGGCTAATTTTTAATCTTTTATTTATTTGGGTTTTTTTGTAGAGATGATGTTTCTCTATGTTGCCCAAGCTGGTGGCAAACTCCTGGGCTCAAGCAATCCTCCTGCCTTGGCCTCCCAAAGTGCTGGGAATACAGGTGTGAGCCACAGCACCTGGCTATGATGGAGTTTTATAGACAGAATTATCAGGACTTCTTTTATATCTCATCTTCAATATGCAAATAACGAATTCATTAGCAAATATTTACTGAACATCCGTTATGTATGAGGCACTATGGTAAGCACTGGAGTAAGTGCAGTGAGCAGGTCAGACATGGTACATCCCTGGATGGTGCTTATGCTATAATGGAAGGAAATCGTCACAAAAAGGTAAGTTATAAAGAAATCTGACCACATCAGGTATTTATAGTGATATGCTGAAAATAATGCAGAGCAATCTAATCTAGGGACTGAGAGGGTGACTAGAGTCACCCAGATGGTGGCTAGGTGCCTGGATCTGGCATTGCACTTCTTCCATTCAAATCCTGGCTCCATGCACTCTGGCTCTGTGGCCTTGCCCAGTTGCACGCTCTCTAAATCCCAATTCTGCTACCTGTGAAATGGACATATTAACATTACCCACTTTAAAAAGTTGTTTTCAGGAAAATGGCTCTTCCTAACGTCTCCCCAAGAACCAAGCACAGAATTTTGGCAGTTTTAATACATTTTCTTAAAGAAGTCTCTTTCTTGGTGTCGTAAGTCACCTATTCAAGTCTCAGAGTTGTTAGGCTGTTTGATCCTAAGGCATCCAATGGTACAGATTGATATTAAAGCAAGAGAAGAACTAGCTTCCTCACTGCCATTGTTCTCTACCATAGCCCATGAGAACACAGGACCCAGGTGACTGAGAAAAGTGAATGAGGGGAATTATGTCAGAAATGACAGAGAAGAATGGGCAGAATTTCTGGCAGGCACAGGTATTTCTAAGTAAGAAATGGTGCAGTTAAGAGAGAATACTCTCAAGAAGGGGAGAGATGGATTCTGTGGCGAAAGGAGATTCCTTCATTCAGCGTTTATGGAGAGAATAAAGGCCCTGGCCCTTCCAGTGAGGATATGCCGTAAATAAGACAATCAAGTCCATCGCTCCTGGAGCCTGTATTCTCGTGTGGAAGACAGACAGTAAATGATACAATAACATTAAGAAATTCATGAGTACATAAAGATAATTTCAGGCAATAATAATTGCTCTGAAGAACATAAAGGGGGACCTATGATAGAAAAGGAGGATTTAACCTGAGTGAGCAATCTCATCTCTTTTTTGAAAAGGTCACTTTGGCTTCTGTGTGGATAGCACATTGGACAGGGATAACAGCAGGAGCTGGGAGAGCTCCAGTAGCAGGAGGCTGCTCTAGGGGTCCATGCAATGGATGCTGGCGGCTCGGACCCGAGTGGTGGGATGCGGATGGGAGAGGCAGGTGGACAGATGAGACAGCTGAAACAGGAAAAGCAGGCACAAAGGCAAATACCACACAATGTAACAGAACAGGAGTTTGGAGCGGAAGGAACACTCCGGAGTCATTCTGGTCCAATTCTGCAGATGAGGAAACCACATCCCAGGAGGCTGAGGCGGCATGCCCCGCATCTCAGAAGCCCAGCAGTCCTTGAGCCTTCTGGCCTCACATCCTCTGCCATACCACAGTGGAGAAACCAGAACCGGATGAGGAGCCAGAATGCAAAGAAGAAAAAAGAGGTGAGGGAGCAAGGAGGAGGGAGAATAGAGAGAGAGAGAAAGGGAAAGAGGCAGCAAAGGGACAAAGAAAATGAAAGGAAATCCAGGTGTAATGAGAGGGGAACCACAACAGGTGAAATCAGGGATGGGGGCAGGCAGGGGAGAGGAGTGTGGCGGGCCTTGTTGCTGGGATTATTTAGGGCGAATAGTCTCCAGTTGAGGTTCAGTTTCATAGCCCATTGCCTGGCTCACTGCAGCTGTCAGGGCACCAGAGGCAGCAGTTGGAGCAGCTGCCTGCACCATCTGAGCCACAAGGACAACGGCAAGGGAAGTGCAGATGGGCAGGAAGTCCCTTTGGGTCAAAGCCAAGGTAGCCAAGATCATGCTATTCTTGCCCACCACATGGGATGCTCAGGCTTCCTAAGGCAGCCCAGAGACCAGCCCCGTCCCTTATCCTTAGCATCGCCACCATTGTCACCATCATCGCCATGCTGCCATTTCTCAGGATCATGTGCCAGGGGCTGTGCGTGCATTTCTCTCTTCTATCCTCACAGAAGCACTTGAGGGAGGTATAGGTTTCCCCAGTTTACAGATAAACACACGAGGGCTCCATTCATTAACTCACCAACCTCATTTCTGAGACAGGAAATGGCAGAAACGCCCTGCTTTCATTTTGTTATTTTTGTTTTGTCTTGTTTTCTCCTCTTAAAGAGGACACATGGAGCCCTGGGTTGGTGCCCTGCACTAAAGGGATCCGGTGTTTACTCCTTCCTGCAGCTGGAGGTCACTCAGCCTGGACTGATGAGGCCGGGAGAAGACTGTTCTCTGTCTGGTCCTCACAGCCGCCTCAGCCACCCAGGGAATGCTCAGATCCAGTTGCACAGGCAGCCCACAGAATGCAAACAGAGCTTTCTCTTAGAATTTTTACGCTGTTTTATTGTTTAATACGGACAACTACTGACCTTCTCTTTTTTCCTTCAAGGCCCCTTTCAAATGTCACCTCTTCTGTGAAGGTTTCATTTCTTTCCAGGCAAAATAAATCACTCCCTTTTTGGAGCCCTCATAGTTTTACATTTGGGCCTAAAGCACTTGTTTGCCTCCTCCGTCAGAGCATGGGCTTCTTGAGGAAAGGGAATGTGTTTTGATCATTTCTGTATCCTTGGCATTTAGCACAGTGCCTGGCACAGTCAAAGCTGTCAATAAATGTTAGCTGAACTGAAAAGCAAAAAATAGAAAGGGCATTTGCTGGGGTCAGTGTGCATCAACCATTTCCATCCTGTTTCCTTAAGTCAGGAACTCAAATGAAGAAAGACATTGTCAATCTCATGAGCAGTCTGTATTTTTTTTTTCTATTGGTGAGAGATAAAGTAAATAGCATGTGGATTTCCTTTGGAAGAATAACAAATAAAATTATTTTTTAAGGATGTGAGTTACAAAATTAAGTTTTTCTTGTGTCCAAATTGTCATTTTGCAAGATAAAAAGTATAAGTAATAAATATGAATGTTCCTTTTTTATTTCAGACTTTTGCTCCAAGGGCAATAGAAACGAGATGGTCAGTTATAGTATTAAAGCATAAGCACAGCTATAACTCAGTGCAAAGGCAAGTATCATAGGGCACATGATATTTTCGCAATGTGTTACTATGAGTAACACTATTGCAAATTCATTTTATTTATGATTTGGTCTTTGTAGTTTCAATTTCATTATTAACTAAAATTTCATAGCATCATTCTTCCTGACATGCACTGAAGATAAAAATGCTTCATATTTTCCTCATCCATCCTTGTCTTTTTCTTTATTAAAAATGTAGCCATTGGCAAAATAAAAAAAAAGAACTAGCCACATGCATACTGAAATTATAACTCAGACACATGACAATAATCTCTAACCATGGCACCTGTGACTGCATCCAGCCATATATGGACCCAAAAAATAAATACTCATATTTATTACTTATATTTTTTTCCTTGCAAAATGACAATTTGGAGATAACAAAAAGTTAATTTTACAACTCATACCCTTATAAAATACTTTTGTTATTCTTCCAAAGGAAAACCCTATGCTACTTTATCTCTCACCAATAGAAAAAAATACAGACTGCTCATGAAATTGACAATGTCTTTCTTCATGTGAGTTTCTGAGTTAAGGAATAAGGATGGAGACAGTTGACTTACACTGGCCCCAGTAAATGTCCTTTCCATTTTTTGCCTTTTCAGTTCACACTAGGAGCTCACTCAGGATGTAGCTGGCAGAGAGAGGACAGTTTGAGGCCTGTGTGCACTTCCCAGCACAACCTCTCACATTCTTCTCATTTTTTATCAGAGACTGAAAAACTAATATGTAAGAATGCTCTCATTATAGGGTTAATCTTCAATCTTCTCTGATTATATTTAAAATTATGTCATAAACTTCAGAAATTAATGAGTACTAGTGTATACTTTATTATTAGCATAATCCAAGTTGGCCTCACCAAGAGTCATAATTATAAAAATTATATCTTTCAGACTCCTACCTTCTCAAAATGGAATTTGTCCCCACTAAAAGTTATCCTTCAAAGTAGTGCTTCACCTGTGCCCACAAATACCTTCACCTGTGCCCACAAAGTGGCTACTGCAGTTACTGTGTGGCTTCTACCAGGCTTTTCTCCTGACCTAGCTCTCATTGGTTGATATTTGTTATCTTCTGTCAAATCTTCCTGAAGGTCGCTCAGCTTTGCAGCATGGATGGTGCAAAAATGTAAACGTTCTCTCTGATACTGTTTCCAAAGCTAGCGGATTGCAGGATGTCACTATGGGGCAAGTTCCATGAATGGAAGGATTGGGGGGTGAAGAGAGAACTGCTCTTTCTAACTAAGTTCAGAGTCCTAAGTTACTGAACTTCTCCCTAACTCTGTATTAGTTTCCTATTTTTGCTATACTGAATTGCCACAAACTTAGTAGTTTAAACCAACACAATTAATTATCTTACAGTTATGGAGGACAGAAGTCCAATCAGGGCCTTATTGGGCTATAGTCAAGATGTCAGTGGGGCTGTGATTTTTTTCTAAAGGCTGTTAGGGAGAATCTTCTTCCAGTTTATAGATGCTACCTGCATTCTATGGCTCATTGTCCCATCCCCTATCTTTAAAGCTGACAATGTTGCAGCTCTTTAACCTTTTTCTAAGTAATGTATCCCTTTAACTTTCCTGTTTTGCTTCCCTCTTCCACTTTTGTCTTTTTTTAAAATTTATTTTGAGATGGAGTCTCACTCTGTTGCCCAGGCTGGAGTGCAGTGGTGTGATCTCGGCTCACTGCAAACTCCACCTCTCGGGTTCAAGCGATTCTCCTGCTTCAGCCTCCTGAGTAGCTGGGATTACAGGTGAGCACCACCATGCCTGGCTAATTTTTGTATTTTTAGTAGAGATGGGGTTTTGCATGTTGGCCAGGCTGGTCTTGAACTCCTGAACTCAGGTGATCTGCCTGCCTCAGCCTCCCAAAGTGCTGGGATTACAGACGTGAGCCAGTGTGCCCTTCCCTCTCTTCCACTTTTTAGGGGCCTTTTATTACATTAAGCTTTCTCAGATAACCTAAAATAATCTCCCTATTTTGAGGTCACCTGATTAGCAATCTTAATTCCATTTGCGAACTTAATTATCCTTTGCCATGGTTCTGAGGATTAGGACATGAGCATCTTGGGGGAGAATATTATTCTGCTACCAAGTATGTATTTTTTAAATATTTTAATTTCCATAGGTTATTGGGGAACAGGTGGTGTTTGATTACATAAATTCTTTAGTGGTGATTTCTGAGATTTTGGTGCACCATCACCCGAGCAATATGTATTATATAATATTATATTACTGTAAATCACAACTTCTTTATCCACTCATTGACGATGGGCATTTGGTTTGGTTCCACATTTTTACAATTGTCAATTGTGCTGCTATAAACACGCGTGTGCAAGTATCTTTTTCATATAATGACTTCATGTCCTCTGGGTAGGTACCCAGTAGTGGAATTGCTGGATCAAATGCTAGTTCTACTTTTAGTTCCTTAAGGAATCTCCACATTGTTTTCCATAGTGGTCATACTAGTTTACATTCCCAACGGCGGTGTAGAAGTGTTCCCTGATCACCATATCCATGTCAACATCTATTATTTTTTGATTATGGCCTTTCTTGAGGTAGTAAGGTGGTATCGCATTGTGGTTTTGATTTGCATTTCCCTGATCATTTGTGATGCTGAGCATTTTTTCATAAGTTTGTTACCCATTTGTATATCTTCTTTTGAGAATTGTCTATTTATGCTCTTAGCCCATTTTTTGATGGGATTGTTTGTTTTTCTTACTGATTTGAGTTTGTTGTAGATTTTGGATATTCGTCCTTCATCACATGTATGGATTGTGAAGATTTTCTCCTACTCTGTGGATCGTCTGTTTACCCTGCTGTCTGTTCCTTTTGCTGTGCAAAAGCTCTTTCGATTAATTAAGCTCCAGCTATTTATCTTGTTTTTATTGCATTTGCTTTTGGGTTATTGGTCATGAAATCCTTGCCTAAGCCAAAATCTAGAAGGATTTTTACAATGTTATCTTCTAGAATTTTTTAGTTTCAGGTCTTAGATTTAAGTCTTTAATCCATCTTGAGTTGAGTTTTGTATACAGTGAGAGATGAAGATCCAGTTCCATTCTCCTACATGTGGCTAACCAATTATCCCAACACCATTTGTTAAAAAGGGTGTCCTTTCCCCACTTTATGTTTTTGTTTTCTCTGTCAAAGATCAGTTGGCTGTAAGCATTTGGGTTTATTTCTAGTTCTCTATTCTGTTCCATTGATCTAGGTGCCTATCTTTATTCCAATACCATGCTGGTTTGGTGACTATGGCCTTATAGTATAGTTTGAAATCAGGTAGTGTGATGCCTCCAGATTTATTCTTTTTGCTTAGTCTTGCTTTGGCCATGTGGGCTCTTTTTTAGTTCTATATGAATTTTAAGATTTTTTTTTTCTAATTCTGTGAAGAATGATGGTGGTATTTCGATGGGGATTGCATTGAATTCATAGATTGCTTTGGCAGTATGGTCATTTTCATAATATTGATTTGCAATAGCATCCAAGGATATAAAATACCTAGAGATAAATTAATAAATGCCATGCAAAAATTCTATGCTGAAAACTACAAAACTGCTGACAGAAATTAAAGAAGACTTTTGAAAATGTAGAAAAGTATATTATATTCATAGATAAGAAGGCTCAATATTGTTAAGACAGCAATACCACCAAACTGATCAATAGATTCAATGCAATTTCAATACAAATACCAGCTGGATTTTTGTTAGAAATTGACAAGTTAATTCTAAAATGTGCAAAGCATTCAAAATAGGACACATTAGTGATTTGTGGCAAATATTCGTGCAATTCAGTTGAAAAAATTATTGAGCTTCTAAATATTCCCATAGGTGTAGTAAAAGAGGAAACAGCAGCATAACAAAGTGGTAAGACAGCTCTGGGCTTAAATCCTAGCTCTGTTGCCCACAACCTTTACACATCCACCAGAGCTTGTGGGAATCTTTAGTGCGGGAATGAAGGATGGGTGTAATTTGAGATGACATCCAAGGGGGCTTAGATTTTTTTTTTTTTAAGACAGTTTCAGGCCAGGCGTGGTGGCTCACGCTTGTAATCCAAGCACTTTGGAGGCCAAGGCGGGCGGATCACCTGAGGTCAGGAGTTCAAGACCAGCCTGACCAACATGGTGAAACCCCGTCTTTAAGAAAAAAAATAAAAATTAAAATTAAAAAAAAAAAGAAGGTTTCACTCTTGTTGCCCAGGCTGGAGTGCAATGGCATGATCTTAGTTCACCACAACCTCTGCCTCCCACGTTCAAGCGATTCTCCTGCCTCAGCCTCCTAAGTAGCTGGGATTACAGGCATGCACCACCACACCCGGCTAATTTTTTGCATTTTTTGGTAGAGACAGGGTTTCTCCATGTTGTTCAAGCAGGTCTCTAACTCCCAACCTCAGGTGATCTGCCTGCCTCAGCCTCCCAAAGTTCTGGGATTCTAGGCGTGAGCCATTGCACCCGGCAAGGGAGCTTAGATCTAACTTACCCACCTCTACCCCTACTCAAACTACTGGATAGAGAAACATTGTTCTAAATGAATTTTTTAAGTGATACTATACTATTACATTGGAAGCGACCTTAAAGAGTATTATGTTTACCCAAGGCCTAAATACAGTGAAGTGCTTTGCTCAAGGTTACACAAGTATCAGAGTGACTGTTATTTATCGCAGTAAGACCAGAGCCCAAGCCCAACAGCCCAAATGTGAACACAAATGCCAGATCTTCTACCAGCTAACTGTGCAGCCTATGGTTAAACCTCTGAAATTTGGAACTCTCCCTTGAAAACATGGGGAGAAATAACATATTTTTAAAGAATACTGTATGGAGTAATAATATAATTTTTAAAGTGTTTAGCAAATTGCTTTACACATAGAGAGTATTTGCTATTTTATTTTTCTCTTCCCTTTTTTATTCTCTGGCTTCTACCCCTAGCTGATCTCTCCTTAATATGTATTCCAACATGTGCAATGGCGACAGCTTTTGTTGCAAGTACAGAATTCTACTCAGGTTAACATCAGCAAAAGAGGAGGGGTCTGTTATAAGGATAGAGGGGGTATCATAAGGACCTCAAAGTCAGTCTTTAGGAAATCACCTGAACCAGAAACCGTAAAAAGAGAAGACCTTTCTTTTCTATTTCTGTTCTCTGATTGTCTGTATCCATCCCCCAACTCCCTCCTCTCTGTCTCTCTTTATCTCTCTCAATCTCTCTTTTCTCTGCTTCTCCATGAATGTAGTAATAGAATATAGGAATTATACAATTCTTGACAATTTGTCCCACTTACCAGCAAAGACTCAATCACAATATTTTAGTCTCAATCCCAAATTCCTGGGAAAGAGAATTTGGTTTGCCTGTGGTAGGGAGGAGTGTGGAGTCATATAATGTACAATAGTTGCCAACACTTAAGCTGAAAAGAGCAGTTATGGGGTTATTGTGAGTTGGGTAGAGAACTCTAAACTTCTGGCAACTTCTTTGTAGATATCTGAGAGAAATCCTTATCCATATTTGAAAGGCTTTCAGCATAATACAGTTTTAAAAGGGGGCCACAATGGCAATACCCCATGTCTGAGTGTACAAGAACATTTAGATTTTATCCAGTTCCAAAGCTCCCTGATGATTTTTTAAATGCCCAGAGTCATGACAATAGAATAAATTTTCTCAAGTCTCCTTTCTTGGCTTAGTCATGAGAAGGGTAACATCAGATATTCTTGCCCTTACAAGCTGGGCTTATGGAAAAACTGTTAAGAGAATAATCTCATTTCAGATAGGCCTGGCTCTGAAATAAGGGGCCCCTTTCATGGTTGTTCTGGAAATCTGCCATGAGATATACTATATCAGGAAATATTGGCTTCATGTTTTTATGCTATTCAGCAGTTACTCTCAGAGTTCAATTATTAGAAACTCTGCAGCTCAGCAGTTTGGTTTTCTGCATGGTTTTATACATGATTTTCTTTCTAATAAATGAATTTCATATGAGCTAATTATAGAGAATTAGATTTTTTTGTAGGAATTAGCATAGTTCTTTATTAGCAAAACCAATTGCATTTCATTAATTTTCTTCTTAATTAAAACCACTGGTTTTAGTGGGAAATTGAGTAACATGCTTTTCTAACTAATGGAAGCTTATGCTATGCAAATACCAAAGCCATGCATTACTACAAGTGCTATCCCAGCTCATCATGAGTAAAAAACCAGAACAAAACAAAACTAAAACACGAACACAAGTCCTCTTTACTTCTGCTGTGTAGTTTTATTCATCTAAATGGAAAATACTGCTGAGAAGTTGTAAGCTCGAGTCTCAACTAGGCCATTCTTTTCTATAGGCTCTCTGCATGTTCGGAAGTCTGAATTGAGTGAAGTTGAAGATGATGTGTATCTGAGGCATAGCTCTTCCCTGACTTATGGGTCTTGAACTGATGTTGAGGTTCGGCTTGAAGCCCAGAGTTTTGGTGTAAATGAGTAGGGACAATTTTTTTTTTTTTTTGACGGAGTTTTGCTCTTGTTACCCAGGCTGGAGTGCAATGGCACAATCTCGGTTCACCACAACCTCCACCCCCTGGGTTCAAGCAATTCTCCTGCTTCAGCCTCCCGAGTAGCTGGGACTAGAGGCGTGCACCACCACGCCCAGCTAATTTTTTTGTATTTTTAGTAGAGAAGGGGTTTCACCATGTTGACCAGGATGGTCTCAATCTCTTGACCTCGTGATCCACCCGCCTCGAGTAGGGACAATTTTACATTAAGCACTGAACATAAAGAAGAGTAAAATTAAGCAAGGGGAACATATGCCTTTTGCCTCAACCTTTGAACATGTGTGTGTGTGTCTCTCATTTTCCCAAACAGGATCAACCACCTTGATCTATGAATTAACCACTTTCTTAGAGGCTCCCTTTCTTTTTTTGTTAGATCCTTTTTTGAGAGCACCTCGAGTCCTATCAAAGAGGGAAGTAACTTCAAGCAAATCCACATTACGACGTGAATTAATAATGGCTATCAAGCATAGAACCATTTTCCCTGGCACACTCCTGGGAAATAAGCAGTTACAATACTTGTCGAAAGTCATGTGATGGCATACATTTGTTTTTATTTTTTGAAGTAGAAACATGTATATTTAGGAGTTTAACCTTTAGGAATGTGCCTCACAGGAATGCTTGCTTGAGTATACCAGGATTTTTACTGTCACACTGTGTCTAAGAGGGAAACAACAACAACAACAAAAATCCTTAAAAACAAACCTAAGTGTCTATTGCTAGGAAAATAGTTAAATAATTGATGGTATACTCATTCATACTATGGGACACTGTGGATAATGAAGGGACCCTAGGACCATAATACACCTATATGTTAGAACATGGGGAAAACGTTTATACTGGCTGGTTAAACAAAAACAGCATTTTTCATCTATGATTCAATTTTTGTAAGAAAATAATACATTTTTATGGACTTATTTATGTATGTGTTTTATGCACACAATAAAAGATGCAGATGGATACACAACAAACTGTTAGCAGCAGGAAGTGGGTAGGGGATGGTGAGTAGAACTTACACATTGATATTGTTTGAATTTCCTATCATTAGAAGACATCGTTGTAAATTTAAAAAATAAAAATAGATATGGTTGGGTACAGAATTTCAGTGTGCAGTGATGAAAATCTTCTGGAGATGGATGATGGTGATGGTTGCATAAGAATATCATGGAATTGTATACTTAAACATGATTAAAATGGTAAAGTTTATGTGACATATAGTTTACCACAATAAAAAAAATGGTGACTTTCACAAGGGCATTTCCATTACATAAGAAGTGAGCAGTGTGTAGCTTAAAGATGAGTTTGGTAAGGGGGCCTGGGCCAGATTGGAAGTCCTTTGACTGCAATACCAGTGAATTAGATGTAATAGACCCTCTGGAGTTACAGATGATGTCTTACGGCATTTAGTATAAAACAAAGGGCATCTTTGGCTGGGAGCAGCATGGGAGGCCTCCCTTTGGCAAAATAGAGATTGAAAGGAGGTTATTTGTGGTCTCTAAAGTCATGCCACCATTGCCCCAGTCCCCATTAGTCATAACTCTTTTTTTTTTTTTTGTCCTCATGAACCTGAGCCTGCCAAGAAAAATATGTTGATGTCTTTATATACAGCTGCCTAAACTCATTTATCAACTATTTAAGAATCTGTATAACATTTTTTGGCCATTTAAATGTATGGAATTACAACTTTGAAACTTACACAAACCATGTTTGACATAAGAAGTAGTTACCGATATCTACGAAATAAAAAGAAATAAGAGTCCAAGGCGAACTTCCACTTCCACTACCAAGGAGTATCTTTAAGTAAAGCAATCAGTAAGCATTTATCAAATGCCCACCATAGGAACCAGGAAGGACACAAAGAAACACTTCCACTACCAAGGAGTATCTTTAAGTAAAGCAATCAGTAAGCATTTATCAAGTGCCCACCATAGGAACCAGGAAGGACACAAAGAAACACTTCCACTACCAAGGAGTATCTTTAAGTAAAGCAATCAGTAAGCATTTATCAAGTGCCCACCATAGGAACCAGGAAGGACACAAAGAAACACTTCCACTACCAAGGAGTATCTTTAAGTAAAGCAATCAGCAAGCATTTATCAAGTGCCCACCCTAGGAACTAGGAAGGACACAAAGAAACATAATAAAGTGCCTAACCTTAAAGGGCTTACCACATATAAAGGAAATAACCAATATACAAGGCATTGAATTGAATTGAACTGGATTGGATTGTATTGAGTTGGATTCTTTGTGATTTCATACAGGAAGCATTTAATACCCACTAAGATATCACACTGTGCAAGGTAGTGTGGGTTTGAAGTATTTATAATAAAAATACTGATACAGTATTTATAATAAAAATACTGATAAAACACATGTTCCCTCTCCCACAAGACTCCTAATTTAGGGGACAGCAGGAATGAACTAACTAAAATGCAAGTCAAAATGTAATCGTAATATAATAAATTATAAATATCAATTTGCCAGGAGGACTAGCTTCATTCTATCCATGTGATGAATGAGCATTTGTAGAGGAGTTGAACACGGGAGCAGACTGAGAGAAGGGAAGTCCATTTAGGTTGAGAGAACAGCATGAGCAAAGGCCTGGAGGAGGGAATGTGCCCAACTGTTCAGAGAACAGAGAGAGGTTCTTGTCATTTAGAGCGTAGCGTTCAGGATGGGGCACAAGACTCTGCATGAGATAAATTAGGGGAGGGAGAGCAGGGCCAGAGCCTTGGGGCACTTGCGAGGAATCACAGAGGCACAGAGTCCAAGGGCTGCCGGAATGTTCAAGGTTGGAGCTCTTGTGCACAGGGAGCCATCTCCTCTCACCCAGCTCACTGCACCAGCTTTCAACCATCCCTCCATTCCATCTCAGCTCAGGCCCTCTCTCATCTATTCCCCACGCTGCAGCCACGGTGGTCCTTTGGAAACTGCAGATCAGGTCAGGTCACTCTTCCGATACTTTCCTTCTTTTTTAGAATAAGTGCAAAATATTAATATGACCTCTGGGGCTGTGCAGAGCAGGTCCCCACACACCCCCTCCAACCCCCACCTGACCTTTTACCAGGACACCCCATTTCTCACATAATGTTCATTTACCTGACCTGCTCCCCCCTAATCCTAGGCTGCTATGGGGTATCTCCTGTGCCAACTGTAATGCTGGGAAATAGTAGGTGGTCGATACACAGCTGTGGAATGCAGTAGCATAGGCAGGTGTGCAAGAAGGGATGAATGGAGTGCCTCCACAAGTTTCTTCTCAAGTGCCATTGGGCCTCATCATGAAGAGCCTGCAGGAGCAAGAAACTCCCTATTCTGATTGGAGAGCAAAAGACAGATGGGCACAGGTGTAGGAAGATTCTGAGCTAAAGACAAAGGAAGCTGAGGATGTTCACATGTTTTCTTACCTTTACTATGACATGTGTTTAGCATATTTGGGATTGAGGGGAGTAGAAAAGGCCTGACATGGGGCCCATGAAGAATAAAGCAGGAAGCAAAGCAAGTACTCCTGAAAGGTCTGCAGAGGAGTTTTGAGGTTTGGTCAGAGAGGACGAATGGGAAGAAGCTCAGGGCGGTGCTGGGGGAGAGAGAGCAGAATGCTAGGTTGGTCAGGATGGGCATCACAGAAGGTCAGGGGATTTTAGAACAGGAACAAGGGTATGGCTGAATTGACCTGCCATGGAGTCCTGAGTGGGCAAGAGAATACATAAAGAGGGATTATACACTGAGAATGAAGGAAAGGCTGGCTGGAATCCAAAGGAGTGTGAGAGACATGTGTCCATAAGATTGCAATCACAGAGGGGATTCGGAAAGGTCAAGATCACAGAAAAGAAGGCTTGCTCGAGGCAGAGTTGCCCAATCACTGGAACAGAGAAGGAGGTCACAGGAATCAAAAGCAGGAAATTGTTGGCCCAAGAGCTGAGGTCACTGGGGATAATAGCTAACCACTGGACCCTTTTTATGGTATGTATAATTATAATCCCACATGCGTTTGTTGGCTCACTTGCTATTGTCTACTTATCACCAATCCAAACTAAATTATTATCTCCTCAAGGGCAGGGGCCAGGTATGTTTCTATGTGATATCCACTGTCTGTCATAGTCAGATATTCATTAAATATTTGGAGAACGAATGAATGACTGAATATGTGACTACAGCACACTGCTTCTCATCAAAATGACTGTTTATAGCAATTATGTAGTACTAGTGGAAAAACACTTGAGACTGGAGAGTAGTGAAGACATAGTTTTACTAAGCCATTAAGCTCTGGATTGTATACAGTTGTTCACATGATACATTATTCTCTCCATTCTGAAAGTGTAAGTGCTTCAAAGGCAAGAGCCAAATCCTATATAATATGTATGTAATATTTCCTTTCTATCCACAGAGCAGCCAGAACTCTAGGAAAAGAACAAGCAGATGTATACAGCCTGGAGGGGGAGGTTTTATAATGAAACAGACTTCTATAGTTAGAGGAAAACTGCGCCATCACTGATCTTCAGTAACTTGTTTCCTCATCTGTAAACTAGGAATAAAAAACAGGATGCAGCACACAGGTTGATGTAAAGCTTAAGTGAGATAATGCATATACCCATCTGTCAGTGCTAGGCACACAGCACTCCATGTGTGATACCTAAAGATAAAAATACTATTTTACCTGTTTTCTGGACTGTGTAAGCTGCATTTGGATTTAGGGTTTGTCATTGTTTGTAGCAGTGACATTCTCATGCTCTTCTCAGTACCCTGTCCAGAAGGTTTGTTTCAGCAGCAGTGATTCCAGACCCCAACTCTGCTCTTCTCCAGAAGCAGGTATCTATCTGCATGCTCCTGCAGCAAGGGTGATGACCTATCTGGGCACGCACAGCTCCATGCTGCCCTCTGGTGGATG